GCCCGTGCCATCGGGCGGCACAATCACGGGGCCCGGGGCGACGCCGCTGCAGACTGACCCGATCCACGTGCCTTAAGAAACCCCGGTGCCCAGGCAGCCTCCGGCCCGCCCCCAGGTCGCCCTGCCAGCTCTGGGCTGTAGGCAGGCTCCTCCCCACAGAACGTTAACTTATTCTGCTCGCTGCGGGCTTTGCACAGCTGCGCGGGCTCCCCACACCGGCAGGCGGCGCAGGGGCACAGCCCGGGACCCCTCCCTAGCACCCCACTGCTTCTCCCCCTTGGTATAAGTGCAATTAAAGCTGTGGGCGTCGCGTCTTCTCCAGAGCTGAGCCCTCCCTCCCTCGCCCCGCAACCTGAGAGAGGACGGCCGGCCTTGGCCTCCCAGTCCAAAGAAGTGGGGCTGTGGGGTGGAAGCGCCCCGCCTGGCTTAGAGGAGCTGGGCCGGCGACTCTCCTGCCCATCCGTGGACCCCTGACTATTGTGCGATTTGTGAGCCGCCTGAGCGGAGTCGGTAACTTGTTGGGTTTTTTTCCAACCATCATGGCCTTATCTGTTCCAGTTTTCTCAGTGTTTTCAACCTGTGAGATAGATGTTTATGGCAAAAGAAAAAAGAAAAAAAACAAAAAAATAGGAAAATCTAACCTATTGTATAAAAATCACTATTTTGTGTGCTCTGCGTGTTGCAGCTTTTGGGGTGGCCCTGCCCACTCCCCCAGTACCCATGGGGCCTCCCTCTCCCAGCGGTGAAAGTGTCCACGCGTGTGGTAGTTTAGTGTGCCGAGCTGTTTTCTACCTTTTTGTAGTCTTTCTTAAAACAATAAATTCCGCTGTGATAATTGTCTATTGCTGTTTCAACAGACTCGGTGCAGTCTCTGGCCCTGTGCCACAATGATGGGACCTCAGGCAGGTTCGGAAATAAAGCATTTATTACATGAAGAGGGACAAAGTGGGGCGTCCATGGGTCCCCCACCTGTGGCATGGTGAGGCTGGGTGGGCAGGGCTCAGGAGGCCAGGACTATTCATCTCCCCGCGGGTCCCACTGGCACCAGCGCCCAGGAAAGGGGCACTCCAGGGTGGGGGGCAGGGCTCCCCCTCTGCCCCTTCGCATCTTAAATAGGCATAAATAAAAAAGCGTCCAGACTCTCCGGCTGCTGGGCTGGCCACCCAGCCCTTCCTGCAGCCCAACACTACTGCCATCGTCTCGGGCCACCAGTCGGGCAGAGGCCAACACGGGGGCGGCCAGCTCCAGCTGCGGAGGTAGTTGGCATCAGTGTCCGGGCGGCTGGGCCCTCACAGCACGATCCACGTGTACCGCTCACTGTCCGCCAGCACCTTCAGCGAGCACCCTGTGTGAAGGCCCGGCCATGAGCCACTGCCTCACCAGCCACGAAGGATCAAGGGACAGGCAGTTTGAGAAGGGGCGCCTTGACAGCCTCTACCTCAGCCTCCAGGAATATCTCCTGGCTCTGGAGCCCCTCACCCTGCCAGGTTCCCAAGCCCTACCTTTGTGCAGTGACTCGTTGGTCATCCTGTTGACATAGCGGCCACTGCTCTCAGGCACCAGCCACTTCATGACCATGTCCACACAGCCCTTTCGGTACGAGCTCCAGACACTGCCACTGCGGGGGCTGGCAGTGAGTGGCTCTGCTGCCCCTGCTGCCCCCCATCCCTGCCCCACCTGCCTCACCTTGTCTGCCCCTTGACCTCGGTGAGGTCACCCACGCTGACTGTCTCAAAGATGCCCGTGTTGAGGTCCCACGCCACCTTGAGGCTGGTGTGATAGGTCTTTGGTCTGCAGCAGGGGTGGGAGGGACACGTCAAGGGAGACGCCAGCAGGTCCACCGATGGAGGGGTCTGTCACAGAGGGTACCCACCCACTCACCGGAGCTGGCCCTCCTCTGTGGGGGACGGGAAGGCCAGGAGCAGCAGGCCGATGTTGATGAGGACTTGGTTGGTCTCTGGGCAAACCTGGGTATGCACGAGAACAGCTGCGGAGGGTGACCCCCAGCTCGGGAGGGTGACCCCCAACTCGGGAGGGTGACCCCCAACTCTGACAGCTCTGCCCACCCAACCTCCTCACCTCCAGAATGACGATGTCGTAGTCACTAAAAGAGCAGAACTGGTGGCCCCAGGTGGCATCATGGCGAATGACCTCGTTGATGACGTACTCAAAGTCCAGTGTGAGCTGCTCCACCGTCAGGTACTGGCTCTGGGCAAAGCAGACAGCAGGGACAACAGTGCCGCCACCGCCACCACAGGCCCAACACCCTTGCCCTCCCAGCACCCCACATACCTGCACAGCAGTTTGCTCCCGCATGGGACGAAGGTTGCGGCCGCGGAGGTCAGTTACCACGAAGGGCAGGGAGATCTTGTCGTCCTCAAACTCTGGGGAGGCAGAGGGTGGGGTGTGGGGGAGGTGGGGACCCTAGGTCCTCTTAGCAGCCCAGCTCCAGGACCTGCTCGCTCACTCACCATCCTCAGGCTCCGTCCCCTCGCTGGACTCCAGCACATAGTACAGCTTGGTGTAGTTGACATAGCCAGGCTCCAGGGCAGGTGTCATGGCAGGACTGTCCCTGGGCGCCGCCTCACCACAGAGGCCTGGGACCTCTGAGGACAGCCGGCACCGGCTGCCTGAGGGCCCAGGGCAGGGGGGCGGCCGGGTGTCCTCAGCAGTCCCGCCCTTGGCCTCCTTGGCTCTGCGGAAGATGTCAGCCACGAATTCCTTGGCTCTGGCGATGGCAGGTGAGGGCTCAGAGGCCCCAGAGGAACGGGCTGGGGCCACCTCGGGGCAGAGGTTGGGGAGGGTAGGGGGTGTCTCAGGGCTACAGGGCCCCGGGGGGCTGGGTGGGGGCGATGGAGAGGCTGTGTGGTCATACAGAATCTGACAGAAGCCACTGTCACCTGCAACAGGAGGGACAGAGACAATACCGGGCTTCAGTGCAGAAGGCTCTTCTGACCTGCATCACCGCTCCCACGGAGGCCTAGCAATCACCTCAAGGAGACCTTCCTAGACTCGCAGACCCTGAGATCTGTCTGTGCAAAGCACTGGATGGGAGGGCAACACACACACACACACACACACACACATCCATAATAGGCACAGACACATTTATACAACCATTTTTTTTCTTTTTTGTTCTGGAGATTGAACCCAGGACCTTCACACCCAAGCTACATCCCCAGCCTACCCCACCCCCCTTTTTTTAGATGGGTCTCACTAGGTAAAGTCACTAAATTGCCCAGACAAGGCTGGAACTTGAGATCCTCCTGCTTCAGCCTACCAGAATGCTGGGATAAAAGGTGTGTGCTGTCACACCCGACTCAAAGCTCATCCTTGTGCATTTGCTGTGTACCACAGTGAGGACAGAGGCATGGAGGAGACTTCCCAAGACACCGCCCTTGGGCAGCTGTCCAGTGGCAGAAAGGAATTGTTTTTTTTGTTGTTGTTTTTTTGAGACAGGGTCTCACTGCATAGATGAGACTGACCTGGAACTCACTACGTAGCCCAGGCTGGTCTCAAACTCAGAGATTCTCCTGCCTCAGCCCCCTGAGTGCTGGGATTACAGGCATGAGCCACCACACCCGGCATCAGAAAGGATAAAAGCCACATAAGTAAACTGGAGCATTTACCACCTAGCCAGTGTTGTGCCAACCCAGGGCCTCTAACTCTCCACCTGTCCAGGGAGCAGGCCCCTGAGAAGGACCCCCCCGCACCCACCATAGCAGCCTGAGAGGGGCCTGTGTCTGAGGCTCAGGAGGAAACCTGACCACTTCACTGAGTCACACCACCAGGTCATATGATGCGACCTCCTGCCCATCACCACGTTGGAACTGTGCAGGCAGCAAGGGACAAGGGCGGAGAGGGCTGAGGAAGAAGCAGCCCTCTGTGAAGAGTAGTCCCCGGGGGCGAGAGTTAAACATCAGTGACCAGGACTACCCTTGTCCGGACCTGGAGCTCAATCATCTGACAGGCTTTCCTGACAGGAACCACAGCCTTGAGGGCAGGGCCTCTTCCTACTGAGGCCTGGCACAAAGGGGCTTGTTTTCAGGCTCAGTTACACAAACTGGCCCTGCCCTTCACCCTTCCTTCCCCAGGAGCAACCATCTCAATGGGAACTTACATGAACAGATTTTGCTGGATACAGCAGTACACACTTGTAATCCCAACTACTTGGGAGGCTGAGACAGGAGGACTGCAAGTTCAAGGCCAGAGCAGGGAACTTAACCAACTCAGTGAGATCCTGTCTCAAAGCAGAAAGTAAGAAAGGCCTGCAGGTGTAGCTCAATATGAAGGCCCTGGATTCAATCCCCAGTACCACCAAAAAAAGAAAGAAAAGGATGTTTTGATGTGGCCAAATTCTTACAAAACTGAAATGTACATTTAACATCTATGAGGCTGTGTCTAGTTACGGATCTGCCACTCGCTCTGTGGTGTGCCCTGTGGGACTCCCACTGGTGACCAACAGGATACCCTGTCCACCTCCTACCTCCCCAGTCCCCAGGGAAGGATGCCAGGTGGCCCCAAGTCTCCTTCCTTGGCTGAGACTCAGCGGGAAGCTCCCAGAAAAGAGCCCAGGTGCAGGACAGAGCTGCTGCTCACAGTCAGCCACTATGGCCACACAGCCCCAGGGCCCCACCCCAGCCAGAGGCATCCACCTGGCTCTTCACATGTCTCTCTGTCCAAGAACATCCTGTGGCTTTCACTGGCATCGCTCAGATACCAGAGGCAAATACTAGCAGTGTGTCCATTTACGGTTCCTGAGACAGCCACTCAATGCAAACGTCACTTCCTCAACAAGGGTTACTTATGCGGCAGTGTCCACCATGTGTGGCCCAGCAGGCGTGAGGGCGGCTGCTCAGTACCATCAGCCCACAATGGACTCTCAGAACACGAGCCATGTCTACTACATTAGCTTTTCTTTCTTCCTTGCTTTCTTTCCTTCCTTCCTTCCCCTCGTCTTCCTTCCTTTCTTCAGTGCTGGGGATAAATCCGAGCTTCACACATGCTGAGCAAGTGTGCTGCCACTGAGCTGTACCCCAGCCTCCATCTGTCCGTCTTTTTTTCTGCGGTACTGGGGAATTGAACCCAGGGCCTTTGACCGAGCTATATCTTATCTCCAGCCCCTTTGTTTTTTTGTTTTTTTTGAGACAGGGTCTCACTATGTAGTCGAGACTGACCTGGAACTCACTATGTAGCCCAGGCTGGTCTTGAACTCACAACAATCCTCCTAACTCAGCCTCCGGAGTGCTGGGATTATAGCCGTGTGCCACCACGCCCGGCTGTATATTTTATTTTGAGACAGGGTCTAACCAAGTTACCCCCTAGGTAACTGGGGCTTGAACTTGCCATCCTCCTGCCTCAGCCTCCCAGAGTGCTGGGGTTACAGGTGTGCACCATTGTGCAAAGCTTGCATCTCTAACCCATTTCCTGTTTGCCCTGAAAACTCTCTCATGGTGTTTTCAGGTGCAGTGTTTGTTCACCCTGAGATAACCTGTGGATTAGTCCAAACTTTATCCCCAAAATTTGCCACGAAATATCTCACTTTTATTATCATTTTCACGTTGCTCCAATATATCGATAGTCTTTGGAAACAAAAGGCACTGTTCTGTTTATAGCATTCTGTTTCTAGTAGTAACATTTCCATTTACAATATAATTTTTAATACACACAACTTTTTAGTCACTGAAAATTAAATGCACACTGGCAGTGAGCTGCACTGTTTTTTTCTAAATAAATGGGAAATGGACTTAAGGGACAGTATTACTCTGCCCTTCCAGCCAGGTAGCTGCCAGCCACATAAACTAAAAGTAACTACGATGACATGAAATCAGAATCTGAGTTCCTGGGTCTCGTGAGCCCCTTGCAGTGCCCACTGGATGTCTTGGGGGACCCACAGCCAGGGGACAGTGTCTCCAAGGGTCAGGCGTGGGCCAGGCCTACCTGCTGCGTGCACGGAGACGGCACAGGCCACCAGGGAGTAGCTGGTGTTCAGCAGCACCACCTGGTCTTTCTTGAGCTGGAAGGCGGGCTGGAAGGTGGGGAACGGGTAGACCACCTGGTACTTGGTGTGCAGCATGAAGCCGTGTCGCAGGCACTGTGCGCCTGGGTCCCCTGGGTGCGCCCTGCTGGCGTCCTGGCAGGCAGCACAACGGCCAGATGGTGGCACGGCCACAGTGCTGATGTAGATGTCGCGGTGGTTCTCATCGCTCATCATCATCATGTTCATGAGCGTGCCGTTGGGCGAGCGGGTGCTGGGGGCCAGTACAGCCCACTCAGCCACCACTGGCCTGTCCAGCTCCCTTCCGCACCTCCCCTGCCCTCCAGTCCCCTGTCTCACTTGAAGCCAAAGACGATGACCTTGGAGGCATCGCTGGGCCACTCACACACAGTTAGGTACAGGTCGCTGTAGATCTCCTCGTCCTGGAAGAGCCGCACCTGCCGGACCTAAGCAGCCCATTCAGGGGGTCAGTATCAGGGGTCAGGAGGGACCCAAGCCTGCAGAGCACCCTGAGGCCTTCCCTCAGCACAGGCAGGCAGCATCCCTCCGAGTGGGAAATGGAGACCAGCGCAGACACGGCAAAGCCAATGGGAGCCCTGCAGGTGGAGGGGCCCTGGTCGGACATGCTGGCCCTAAGCCCCACTCCCATGGATGGAACCCTGAACTGCTGTGCTCCAGTGTGAACAGAGGTAACAGCTGAGGTGGGGTGAGAGGTCAAGGGTCAAGGCTAAAGCCAGGGCAGTAACCTGTGTGGTTCTCACAGAGCTGTCTGCTGCTTAACCCCAAAAACGGTATCACAGACTTTTTCTTTCTGGGCAGTACTTGGGGTTGAACCCAGGGACTTCACACTGAGTTCCACCTTCAGTCCTTTCTTCTATCTTATTTAGATACCAGGTCTTACTAAGTCACTAATTTGCCCAAACTGAGTTAAAACTTGCCATCCTCCTGCCCCCGCCTCCCAGAGAGCACAGGTTTTCAATGCCAAGTTGAATCTAATGAAATTGCTACTATTTATCCATCTGGAACTAGATAGGCACCTATCTGGCAACTTCCTATGGTTCAATTTAACACCCTAGGATATTCCACCCAAGTGTGAGGCTTGCAGCGGGCTGCTGTGGCCTGCTTGGTCCCACAAGGAACCTCGGAAGGGCCTGGCCCTACCAGCTTCAGCTTGCTGTGTACGTTGAACTCCCACCAGTAGAGGTGATAGATGTAGAAGGAGAAGTCATCGTCTCCGCTGCTGCTGGTGTAGGACAGCACATAGCGGCCACACTTGGAAAAACCCAGGAAGATGTGCCTGTAGGACTCAAGAGAAGGGCCAGGTCAGGGCAAGCCCGAGCCCCCCGCCCCCAACAGGTGCCCTGCCTTGGCCTTACCCTGCATAGAGGAAATCCTCATCCACGATGTTCTTGAGTGACACACAGACCCTCGGTGGCAGCTTCCGGAAGAGGCGAGGCGAGAGCTGCCCACTGATCTAGGAAAGGGTGGCTGGGCTCCTCAGGCAATCATCCTGGGCGGCCACCTGCAGCCCCAAGCTCCTCATCATACAGAGAGGGACAGGAGCACATACCAGGCAGCCAGCCCAGCACATAAGCCAGCTCTCTGCCCACCTTCAAGGTCCCACTGGCCCCAGCTATGGCAGGGGAACAAGTGGGTCAGGCAGGAGACATGGAGTCCAGGTAGACTCCCTCCACCAGGAACCCACACACTGCAGCCTCAGGTTCCCTCCAGGCCAAGCTCAGAGTCACTTTCCTCGGGATGGCGCCTCAGTCACCCTGGCCCATACTGGGCCACCTGAGTCTCTTCCTGAAAGCTGCCATGGGCCACTAGACTGTGAATGTCCTCTACCCAAAGGAGGCTGGGATGAGGGCCATTTCTCACCTGTTCCTAAGCCCCAGCCTACATGGGGATACCTTGGGGTAAGTCTGCTCTTAGCCGGGACCCTACTGTGCTCCCAGCCAGTGACTGAATACCTGCCTGATAACCTCTTTTCAGTTAAATTCCACCTTCCAACAGACTCCTACATCCCCAAAATGCCACCACAGAGTGACCTCCCCTGACGGGACACCCTAGCCTATCAGAGCCACCTAGATCTCAATATCCAGGCAAACAGGGGAGTCTGCCCTACCCTAGATCTGAAGGGTAACAGTCCTGTCCTGAGGGATCTCTGACTGAGGCGACAGGGCTGCCTGCCCTCAGGAACATCCCAGTCTGATGAGGACACCATCCTGTCGGGGTTCCCTGACTGATAGGAGAGACTTAATCCCTGTTCAGCCAGCTCCCAGGCCGAGGGCGGGGCTTGGCCCTGCCCACGGAGCTCCAGGCTGAGCGCAGAGACTACACCGTAGGTCCCAGTGTGTTGGGGGAGGCTCAGTCCTGCCCTCACAGGGCTGCTGGCCTCGCGGGGCAGGTTCGACTCCTGTCCAAGGAAACAGTCTTGCCCCAGCTGCTGCCCTACCAGGAGATTCCGAACCCTACCCCCAGCCAGGACTCCCCACCGACCGGGGAGACACCCGCGGGCTCTGGGTCTGATAGGGGAGACACAGCCTGTATGGGGGTCGACCTGGCCCCATCAGGAGAGGACCCTTCCATTCAATGGAAGTGGCGGCCCGGGCCCAGAACCTCCCAACTAAGGGGCTTTCGGGGAAGCCACAAGCCCGTGGGTTCTGTAAAGGAGGCGGGAAGGCTACGTCGCTGGGGGGCCAGGAGAGCAGGACTTTGAAAATAGGGTCCAAACCCAAATCGCTGCCCTCCTCCGAATCCTCCAGCGGATCGGGGG